GGCGTTGCCGCAGCAGCTGTAGCAGCAAGAACTGCTGCAGTAGCTGCAGCAGTGGCTGCAGCAGCAGCCGTTGATGTTGCTGCAGCCGCTGCAGCAGCAGCAGCAGCAGCAGCAGCAGCTGTTCATGCTGCTGCAGCCGCTGCAGCAGCAGCAGCAGCAGCAGCAGCAGCAGCAGCTGTTGGTGCTGCTGCAGCAGCGGCCCGCTATCTCTTGCCCTGTCTGCGTGAGAGCCTCCAGGCGTTGGGTTCTTCGAATCTGTTGTAGAGGGGCTCAATGCGTTCACGCATTTTGCGCCGAGACAGACGCTGCTGGTCTGCCTGCAGCACAGCAGCAGCAGCAGCAGCAGCAGCAGCAGCAGCAGCAGCAGCAGCAGCAGCAGTTGTAGAAGTTGTAGTAGTATTGTGGTAGTATTTGTAGTAGTAGCCGGAAACACAACCGAAGCAGCAACACCAGCGACGCAGATACACACGCATACACACACAAGGCACCTTGCATCCTCACCAGCTGCAGCAGCACAAGTAGCAGCAGCAGCAGCAGCAGCAGCAGCAGCAGCAGCAGCAAACGTACTGGTTTGAATAGCTTTGGAGCAACGTCACACAGCCACAGCGGCTCTATGGTGCAGCAGTCCCGCAGGTACTCCTTCGTCGTCAGCACCAACTCGTGGTACACCAGCCACTCGGGGTTGCTGCAGCAGCAACAGCAGCAGGAGCAGCAGCAGCAGCAGCAACAGCAGCAGCAGCAGCAGCAGCAACAGCAGCACAGTATTTGGTTGAGGGAATTCTTTACACTATAGGATGCATTTAAGTAACAGTCACACATCAGCAACACAAGCACCAGCTGCAACCGCAGCAGCAACAGCAGCAGTAACAGCAGCAGCAGCAGCAACAGCAGTAAAAGCAGCAACACTAACAGAAATAGCGACAGCAGCAACAACAGCAATTACACGAGAGGACAGCACCAGCAGCAGCAGCCATACTAGCAGCATCAGTAGCAGCAGCAGCAGCAGCACAAGCCGTACTAGCATCAGCAGCAACAACCCCAGTAGCAGCAGCATCAGCAGCAGCAGCCCCAGTACCAGCAGCAGCAGCAGCAGCAGCAGTACCAGCAGCAGTACCAGCAGCAGCAGCAGCAGCAGCATCAGCAGCAGCAGCAGCAGCAGCAGCAGCAGCAGCAGCAGCAGCAGC